GCATGCAGGATGATGACCTAAAAAACAAACCCCATTTCTTTTTTTTTTCTTTTTTTCCAAGAACTGAAATACTTGTGGGTTTTGTAATGCACAAATATGAGAGATATAAACAGAAGCTTTTATGAAGGGAAAGTTTATGTCTGCTGCTAAACAAAGAGAAATAATATTTTAACCCTTTGAAATGGTCCGCTAGTGTCTACACTGGTATTTTTGCTTATTGTGATGTAATTTTTTGGAGTATCATCAAAAGCTTCACATCCCTAAATTCTGTACAACCTAAGTTACAAGGTTATGTAAGTTAATAAACCATAATAATTGATAACAATATTTTAAATTGTGTCATAAGCATCGTGCTTTTTCATCAGATTTTAGATCGATATACACATCATTATGCAAACAACGATCTCCCAGGCAGGGGGCAGACCCAGAACACGCTGGAGGGATTGCAGATCTTGTCTGGCCTGGGAATGCCTTGGGGTTGGGCTGGAAAGTGTTACTGGGGAGAGGGATGTCTGGAATACTTTGCTCAGCATGGTGCCCCTGCGACCGGGCTTTGGACAGGTGGTTGGAAAATGGATGAATGAAAGGAATTATGGTAAATAAGGTAAGGTAAGGTAAAAACGTGATGACGGGGAAGACAGAAGCCTTTGCTTTCCACTGCAAAAAGAATAACTGCTCGAGCTCATATGTTTTTTTGGGGTTTTTTTTGGATCTAATAACGTAAACAACAATCTTCTGCAGCCATTATGGGGAAATACCAGTTTAACTACAGCAAAATGCTACATTTGCCCTACACAAAAAGTGTAAGTCACGACATGATAAGGGAAGACAGAGGCCATTGCTTTCTGCTGCAACAAGAATTAATGCTCTAGCCATTATGGTTCTGATTTTAGATTGATTTAAACAACATCATACAACCAACCATCTCCTGTGGCGGTCCACGGGACGTCTGCTTTTAAAGGGCTGAGCCAGTTCCAAATGGAAAACAGGCAGTTTAAAAGCAGTAACTGCAAAAACAGCTCACGAGACTTCGCACCTTGGTGAACTCACATGGAGCAAGTTCACCCATTTAGAAACCACAAAAATGCTCCGTCTCTAATGACATCACTTAGCAGTCAGCAAGGGTGTCTGGGCAGAGCTTTGTCTCCAGGCAAAACAGTCAGTGCATGCAATAAGCCATTGATAGCTCACAAATAAAAGCCTTTTATTGGTTATAAATTGTGTTGGACCATTAAACTTTATGTTATTCCTAAGTGACATTACTCCAAGTTTAGCCAACAGGAGACACAAAGAAAAGACATCTGATAGTCCCATTCTTTTCAGAACTTGTTAGCTTTCAGTGAAAGCATGAGGCTTCAGCTTGAATGTTCTGGCTCTTTGCATCAAAAATGCGCAGCCTGGCAAAATGTCAAAATCCTTTATTGAACTATTTTGTTTTTTCCAGATGCTGTATTTGCAAAAACAGGTTCATACCAGCCTCAGAGAGCTCTGCAGGACTCTTTTTTAGAGTTCCCACGTGCTGTTCGTGGGGGAAGATAAATGTAGAGCAGGCTGAGCGGAGGAATGCATTCACAGCACCCTTAATTGAGGCTGGATGGCCTGCAGTCACAGAGGCAGAGCGTCTCAACAAGGCTCGGGCTGGCGAGATCCCGAGATGTGCCTCACACGTACACATCATTAAACCGCCTGCTTTGGCTCACGGCTCCACGGTACCAATGAAGGCTGCGGAGACAGTGGGAATTATATGGGAAAGTTGTCTGGAAGGACCCCCCCTCCTTGAAAATGAAAGTCCCCCGTCAATGAAGGGGAAGTGCTCCCATGCTGAGGCCTACTGGGCCAACCATTGAACCAGGGAACATTCCTCAGTAATTCAGTTTGACCTGGACCCAATACGCTGGCTGAGGGTCACCGAATACAGAGCACTACATACGGGGAGAAGATGAAAAGGGAGGAGGAAAAGTTGGGGAAATCGGATGTAGAGGAGTGAGAGGTAAAGTGACGGATAAGAGTTGGAGGGGCGGAAGGCAATACAATAGCATACGTATCAGTAGGTTCAATTGGAGTGGTCCTAATTTGGTGTTTACAGCAATTATTATCACTTTAGGAAGCCAACTGGCACAGCAACTGGCATCCAAAATGCCCCAGTACCCGCTCTCTGCTGATGAACTTTTAACATCCATCTTTTCTGAATGAATTACTGCAAATGTGCCTGTCTTGTGATGGTTAAATTAAAAGTGCTTAAATGTAGGACAAATGATGCAGTAATGGAATGTGTCTGTCGAACATGGCAGCAGGGGGAAAATAATAATGTGGAGAAATCGTTGCACTGCAGCGTGGTCGGGATGGAGAGAATTACAGTTTTAATTCTATAAAATCAAATCCCTCCACTTGGCAATCCTCTTACGCAGTAATCCCCAGGTAGCTTTCAGAGGGCAGGGGGCTCAAACTGCCCAGCACAGCGACACATCTGCCCTGCCGACGAGATGATATCAGTGGCTGCTGCTCTGCTCCCAATAAAGGCTTTGAACGGACCAACAGAAACTGGATGAAATGCTTAAGCTGTAGCCTTTGGGAAGTACAGTAATAGTGCTATTGAAGGCATTACAGTACATACAGATTCAAAATTGCACACAAATAGTGCATCATGTGGTGCATGTCGTGCAGTCATGGAAATGAGGAATTTCCCTCCGATCACTGACCAAAACACTTAAAGGATGATAGATCACATGCTTATTGTTGGTGGCACTTTGTGTGTAATGTCAGGCCAGAGTTTAAGGCCCTTACAATGGCAATATTGTGAGTTTGACTTTCAATAGTACCACTGTAAAGCATTTCTAGTTAAAGGTCAGTCTAATATTAGCTTTCGCTATAAAGCAATGTCAGATTTGCAAACAACTCTCTTGCCAGAATCAATGTTGGCATTGTATGTTTCTGTAAACTACGGATATGTTACATTTGTACATTACTTTAATGAAAACACCCAGGTTTGCTAGCTCAAATGGTGCTGGCAAACCCTATGATGTGTAGGGGAAAAACACCCAGGTTTGGTGGCTCAAACACCCCGATGTGTTTGTGAAAAACAACCAGGTTTGGTGGCTCAAACACCGCTGGGAATGCCCCAATGTGTTAGTGAAAAACAACCAGGTTTCGTGGCTCTTACAAGGCGATGTGCCGCCAAAAACACCCAGGTTTGGTTAAAAAAAACACCCAAGTTCGGTTCGATGAAAGCCACTGGAAAAGCAGGGATGAGTCAGTGAAAAACAACCAAGTTTCGGGGCTCAAATGCTGCTGTGAAACGCTGCAGTGTTTCTGTGAACAACACCTAGGTTCGTCAAAGAAAGAAACAACACCATCATGTTCGTGATCGTGTTTGGTACTATAAAAGGAATGATAAAAGCAGGTAGAAGTCAGTGAAAAACACCCAGGTTTTGTGGCACAAACGCCATTGGGAAACTCTGCAGTGTACCGCTTAAAACACCTAGGTTTGCTAAAAATCAGAAACACCCAGGTACAGTGCCACAATCATCACTGAGAAACACCTCAACGTGTCAGTGAAAAACACCCAGTGCCAGTGCGACAAACACTGCTGGGAAACATCGCGATGTGCCGAAACCCATCCCCCACCCTCCTCCTCAAAAAAACAAAACAAGGTTCAGCGCCAAAAACAACTGCAGTGTTTGTTTGTTGGCCTCGAATAGTGTTCTGCATTTTGGCAGCTGTCTGGCCAAGGTGACACACCATCCACCATCCCCTCTACCTCTAGATTACTCAATCAGCTCATATTTTACGTCACTTTAAAGATGTTGATATGCAAATGTAACATATTCAGAAAAGTACAAAGCCAACATTTTCTGCTGGCGACTGGGCTGTTGTAAAGTAATTAAAGAAGTTATACTCCTGCCAAAATCCATTCCTGTCATAAAGCATCCAAGCATTGCAGATGCTATTTTTTGCTCTCGAGTTGGGAAGCACCAGTTCCCAGGGCAAAAAGAAAAACTCCAAAAAAAAAAAAAAAAAAAAAAAAGACAGGGCAGGGAATGGCATTTCTCTCTGGCACTTTGACAACACCAGCCAGAGAATGATGATACCCTCCCTTGCTCTCCCATGCTCTCATTTTCATGTTCCCTTGCAGTTCTGTTTTTAGAGATAACAAACCCAGCTAAAAATACAAAGCCAGTGTCCTGAATCCTGCATTTGGCTTCCTTGGTGCGTTGGTTGCCAGCATCCTAGCCTTGTCCTGTAAATATGGCTGACAATGAGGAAAGACCTCTGACCTGCTGTGACTTTGACATATGGACACTAGCGCTGCAGCACTTCACGCCACATTAATAAAGAGCTGTGGAGAAGCTGATCATAACAGAGAGGCCCTGTAATCCATATTCCCCACCACTTTGCTGTATCCAGTTCAACACCAGTCATTCCAGTGTGGGATTAGTGGGGAGAAAATCTTAATCTGCCTGAGAGAGGAAAGAAAAGGAGCAGTGGAAAGAAAAACATGCATTCCTGCACATATAAATCCCTTGCAACGTCTGATTGTTTTACCTCTGCTTAAACGACGGATATCTGTTTCCTTCTGTTATCAATCAGTATCAAAGTGCTTTACGCAGCGCCCCGGCCCCATGCTGTTGCCACTAGCAACAGGACACGCAATCACCCCCCCACACAGACCCCTGCAACTGGCTAATCGGGCTCAGTGCAAATCAGAGATCATCCCCTGCACATGTGTACAATGCTGCTATATGAAATATGGTCCCTCCTCTGGGGATTATTAAGAAAATTGCAGCTTGGGTCAAAGTAAGGCATCTGTAGGAGGTGCAGCCACAGGGAGAGAAATCATAAAGCCTTCTTGAATAAGTAAAAGCTGAGTGTGCATGTATTCTGCCACATATGAATAGATAAACAAGGACAATCACCTAACAAGACAAGAAAATGTTTGCAGCTGCACAAGAAATAATGCAACCTTATCATGTCATGTATGCTGACGACTGTCCGCTTCTTACCCTGGTGGAGGTGCAGCATCCTGGTGCATTCAGAGGACACACATGGTAATCCACCGGCACGCTCTCCTCCTGCTCTGCAGCTGCTACCCACTGATCCCGCAGATGATAAAGTTTACATCCACAATGCAGTACTGCCGGCTCTACACTGCTCCCTGTCTGCCTCTCTACTTGACTGAGACCAAACTGCCTCTCCTCCCCTTCTCTCTCCTCTTTTCTACGTTCCCTCAAGCACTTGAAATCCTTGCTTCCCTCTCCTCCTCCTAGTCCTCGTTGCTTCTGTCTCTCTCAATCTGGCAACATGCGTTGACTCTCCCGACGCTGCTCTTCTCCTCCTTCACGCTGCATACGCTCTCCCTCTGCGCTATGCTCTCTCTAACTAACACACGCACAGGCTCTGAGGCTCCTCTTCACACACACAGCGCTGTGTGTGCCTCCCCCCCCAGCCCAACCCGCCTCCTGCCTTTATCTCTCCTTCGAATATCTCTCTCTCCTCCTCAGTCTGCCTCTGCTTCTATCTCTTTCTCTCTGTCTGTCACTGTGTTTCTGACTGCGTCCCTCCTCCTCGGGGTTTGCGGGACTTTTAACATGTGTTCGGGGAGACGGCTGTTCTGCTGCCTCTCTGAAGGTGGCTCTTTCCTCAGGGGAGGAGAGGCGAGGTTGGGGTGGGGGTTTGTAGAGAGGAGGAGGAGGAGTTTTTTTGGGGTGACAACAGTGATGAGGGGGGTTTAACTCCAACAAGGGGACGTGAGGAGGCAGCCGGCTTGTGATGTCCCACTAAATGGGCTGTTTTAGTACAGAGGCAGAAAAGGTGACAAATCTGACAGAAGATCAGAGGATCCAAAAAACAAAAAGAAAGACTGACATCCAAAACGAAGGTCTAAGTTGGCTTAAAACAAACAAGGTATGGTGTGTTGTCCATAAAACAACAGTAAAATAAGACACACATCTCCTAATGTTCAATTGAATGGGTGCTGGATCAAAGAAATGCTTGGCAGAGCAGAAACAAATAGATCTGCACACTAAGTAGCTCATGTTAGAAGGAGTTTAATGCTGTTCAGTGTTTCAACCCAGCTGGCTCAAAATGTTACACAGCATTAAAATCTTTTTAACTGGAGCCGGACGGGCCACGCTTGAAGGTAAAAGTATTTATACCTGCTTCAAAAAGCAATCCTTAAATTCTGCCGTCATAGAGGCACAAAAGCCTTTGTGGTTGAACATCAAGTCACACTTTCCATGTCCACTTGTCTAAGAGGGTCCACAAGGGTCCACGTGACGTAAATGTCATCCACCCGTCATCTGTACATCTCATGTACCATATTCCTTGTCCCTGGGCATATTCTCATCAAGCGGTCATACATTTTATTTTCTCTTTTGCGGTTTCCTTGATGGTCAGCCAAAAACAAACACTAGCTGTCGTGAGGTCACCATTTTCTTTCCTGATACACTTGATTCTTCTTACAGAGCCCCTGAAGCCCCAAAAGGTGATTTTTTTCCTTCCCACAAGATGATAACTTGCTCCGACAAAATAAAAAATATCACCTTTTGGGACTTTGGCTGCCTTATATCATCTTGATTTTTATGGCAGTTGGCAAACAATGATGCAGTGGAATAGAGTGTGGATTGGCAAATGTGCATTTGAACGCTATTATGTGACTGTTACAAGTCTGCAGCTTTCCAGTGACGAAAAACCAACACTTTTTCATTCCGACTTCATCACATATGGACGTTTGGTCATGGACTTTCCACATCGTGATATGATGTGCAAGGTACCCTGGGTGGATTAGTTTTTGACGTTCTGGGATGAACTACGCTGGTAGTTTGTCCCAGATCGTTTTGTTTTTTTTTTCTTTTTTTTTTCTTTTCAACAAATGCACGTGGTTGGGTTTAGGAAAAAAGAACAGGGTTTGGGTTTATGGTCTTACAGGAAGTGAACACTAGCCTCGTGGGTGAAACTCAGTGGTTGTTGGACCCATCCACCACCACCACTGCCTCCCCGCCTGACTCAGACTTTCACCATCTTAATTTTAGTTGATGTCCCACCACATTTCCTCCTAACACCGCTGGGCACCGTTAAACAATAATGTCTACTGGCCACACATCATGCCGTTGAGAAAGGACGACTTTTTTTTGTCAGTGTCTGACACCAGATGTCACTGACCAAGTGCCTCATTTTGAGGACTTCGGAGTGAGACCAAGTTGGCATAACATGGTTTGTACAGTATGTCCTTGAGGTTGCCCACACATAAATTGATAGAAGTCATTATTTGAGCAAAAGTTGAGATCTTGCATCACCTGTCCAATCACCGCGTAAAGTGATTTCAGAACGGTGCAGATGTTCAGACTCACTTTAACGTTGCAATGGATTTATTTATTTTGCAAGTTAGACAGTGTGCAGGAGTCTTTCCTGCAAATTGTGTCCCATTCGTTTCTCTTTTGTGCTCCTGTTTTTGAAATAGTAGTGTGAAGTGTTCTCCTGTTTTGTGCACTTTGCTAGAAGAATACGGTGGCTCTAATTTAGAAATGGACCTTTGGCCCTTCATCCTCACAAAGCCAATGTTTTGAAACCCAAATAACAATCTGAACCTGAAAACACTGGCTGCACATTTTAGGCTGGTCAAGGGGCACAGAGCTTTTGCAAAACAACGCAGAGAAAGAAAGAGAAGACGCTGACAAAAGACAGATAGAGACAACCAAGGAAGAGATCAAGAGAGCGAAGGACAGAATCTGAAAGCCAGCTAAGAGAAAAAAAAAAAAAGCTGAGAGTGAAGTGCTTGGGTCTGCCTGAGCCGAGTGACGGCACAGGCTCCAGCCCATCTGCCGCAATCACAATCAGTCTCAGCTGAATGGCTGTGACAAACAGCAGCCTGGAGCCCACAGCCTCAACCAGGCAGGACGCCTGCAAGGGCCGAGGGAGGTGAGAAGAGGGGGGATGAAGAGGCAGAATAGGAGGGGGGGGGGGCACTCTCTATTGTCTGCTCCCCAATAGGACCAGTGCGAGAGGGGGCGGGCACTGGAGGGGTGAAAGGGGGAATTAAAAGGGTCCCGGTGACAGGAGCGCTCAGTTAAAGAGGGGAAAGAAAGGACGGGGCTGACTTAGAGCCGGGGCCATCGCTGCCACTTTGCCCCACATTCACTGTCACTAATGTCCTAAATGAACAATGACACTAACCATGTGAGAAAATTAGTTTGCAGGAGAGTGAAAGGAGGGGGGCTGCAGTTGAGGAAGGCGTAAACATGCAGGGATGAGTTGTCTGTCGAGTTTGGAGTTGGGTTATTTCACGCTGGGAAATCTGGCATCACCCAGCAGAGATCATAAAAAATTGACACGTCCTGTCACATTCTCGTCATCAGACGTCTCATAAAGCTGGCTGCCACATTCCCCATTTGTCATCATAAAACTCGGGAAAGATTCATGATGCCTGATTATTGCGTATGTGACTGAAATGTCATGCAGAGGAGGTAATTGTGTTTATCATAAGTGCAGCTGTCTCGCGGGAAAATCTGAATACAGAGCGAGTGTGATTTGATTCTTAGAGCAGGTGGTCACCAATTAGACACTATTGTGCCGTTTGGGTAAAAAAGACAAATGTGCGGCTGAGTCAGCGGTAACCCATACATATACGGCGTAATCGAGAAATATTGAAGGCAGTATTCCATTCTAATTTGATCAGTGATTATTGAGCGATGGCTTCCATCTGCAGGGCCACTGAGGCCTTGTTCAGACTGCCAGCACAAATCAGGCATATCCAGACTGATTTTAGGAAGTTTGAACAGCAAAAAATTAAACAACAAATATGTTTTTTGCAAATCTGATACAAACTAAATTTGGAGCTGGTTTTAAATGCAAACTCCAAATGTGGTTTCCCATTTGATTTCTATAGATGTGTCTCTGTCTGGATGCCCTGGCCACTAAAATTGGATTTCAAAGTGTCTTTGAACACAATGATGACGTCAAATCCAGAGTGATGGAAGTGCTGAGCAGATTCATGCTGCTACCAGCAGTGCGCTAGGGGGCAACATGAGGAAAAGCAGTCTGTGAACACCAAAAAAAAGTGTTTGGAGGGCAAAATGATAGACCTTCTGTTCACATGTACCCATGTCACCAGCTACATAGTCTGACTCACCAGATGTACACTGTGGCTATAAGCCTGCCATTGGCCAGTTATGTAGGCTAGCATTCTCCATCTTCCTTCAGCTTTCTGAATGTTACCGTTTTCAAAATCCCCTTCACTATGGGAAACAACAACCTCAAAGCTAACAACTTACACACTGAAGATTTGGATCGTGCAATAAGTCATGCTTGACAACTGGACTCCCAGGATGATTGTGATTGGCTTAGAGAAATAAAAACAAACCAAAGCAGAATGGTAATATGGTGATTCCAGACCTCTCTCAAGCACTGACAGAGCGTTGTAGAGATAGGTCTGGTTTCGTGAGACTACCAGCTACATAGTTACTAGCGCTCACATCATTACAACAGCAACCCCTGCAGATAGGTTGGTGATGTCTGGACATACAAATCCAATCTGATTATTTGCAACTAACAGTCTGTCTTCAAGATCTGATTTAGGAAACGGCTCTGCTTGCAGTCTGAATATAGCCATACAGACAACAAAGTTGGGTAGCAGTTGGGTAGCCATACAGACAGCAAAGTTGGTGTTTGTGTCAGAAAAGTTGCACCCCCTTCTTTGCCTTGATCAGCCCATGTTTGTTTGTTTAGCTTCACTTTCTCCAATTTTAACTGCATAATGAGAATCTTGGGGTGTTTGTAGAGTGCTGTAAGTGTGTGTCTAATTGTGTATCCACAGTGTGTGTATGCGTGGGTTTACAAGCATACATAAAGTATGGGTTTATGCATGCATGCAACAATAAATGTGTGTGCATTAGTGTGTATTTGTGTGTGTGTTCAAAGGGTGTATATAGGTTCTAACAACCATAATTATATCCATTTATTACATTGTATAGTGTCTTTATTTGTAATATTCATGCGCCTATAAGCGTGTGCACAAGAGTGTGTGTGAGTGTGTGTGTCGGCTGAGTTTGCTGAGTGATCTGCTGAGCTCATTAAGACGCTGCTTATTGCTCTGCCAGGGGTGTCAGTGACAGATTCCACTGTTTGGAAACACTCGGCCGCCCACACAGCCAGCCTGGCTCCACCACTGTCACACACACACACGCACACACGCACACACACACACACACACACACACTCAGGCTAGGTTAGCATTCCTCAGGGAGGAGGAGGAGACTGGACGGTGCTGGGACAGTGGCTGGAGGGACGGCGGGTTGATATGGATTTGTAATGGGGGTGCAGGGTGGTCTGAGGGAAGGGGGATGCTCGTGGTTGTGGTTGTGTGTTTGTGTACATTCATGCGCACACTAGGAGATGTGTGAGTGTAAGCACCTTTGAACTGTGGTGTGGAGTGGCCTGGGTTAAAGGGATGCTAGTGGTTGTGGTAGTATGTGTTCAGTGGTGGGAGAAGTATTTAGATCCTTTACTAAAGTGCAAGTAGCAATTCAACAATTACAAGTATGGATCCTGATACTTTATAAACATTGTAGTTTTGGGAGCTTATGTGACACATTTACTTATTCTTTTTTCATGTCTTTAAATAA